CACTGAAATTAAGCCTTTTGTCAACAAACTCCCCATATAGATTACTTTTAAAATAAAGACTGAATTATTTAAAAACCAACCATGCCGACTGACGTACAGCAGAGGCCCTGTAATGCTGTGGGCCTATTTTATTTTCTCAATATACTCAGGGAACCCTGATCAAATGCTTAGCAGTGTTGTGTCCTTTAATAATCTTTAAATAAAAGCCAAGTTGACTGGTGAAATGGGAGCTCTAGTTGGTTTCTGTTTTCTTTTCTTACAGCCAACATGTACGTTACCAGAATAGTGAGTTCAGGAACTGTTAAAAGTCACTTCAACTCTGGTTGCCAGGTCTTTGCATTGACACTCCCCCCACCACCGTTGCCTAATCTGCAATATTGTAATGGTGCAGTCATCGCTGAAATCCTGAATTATCGGTAACCAGTTAGGCAGGTCTAAGTGTTGCAATATTTTGTCCGTCTTTTTCTTCAACTAACAAATACAACAAAGCGAAGGGAGCTCAGCCCCTGGGTGTGTCAGAGATGACATCTTGTCATTTCTTTTAAATTATGATTTCATCGTTTAAAGAAATTTACCTTAGATCTCAGCAGAAATATGCAGATTAAAAACCAATTCCCCTCGTGACCCCCGCTTGGGATAAAGCATGTCAGAAAATGGATGGATGGATGGCAAAAAAGCTATTTCGGTAGGAATTTCTGTAAAATTTAGATAACACATGGTCACTAAATTCCCTAGACTTTATTTAATCTGTTTGATGTTTAGGTTGAGATTTAAGAGTTTTATATGACTATAACAGTGTGTCAGTAATAGAGATCTTCTGTTAGGATTTCTGGTCTATTTATTTATTATTGATTGTATTCCTCTTGTGATTGTTCTTTTCCCCGTGCAGAGCCTGTGACTGATGTTGTGATCAAGTCAGATTTGCCTGAAGCCATCGAGCACAACAGCACAGTGGTTCTAACCTGCTCTTCTAAAGGATCTTTCCTTAAATTCACCTGGCTAAATAAAACCAAGGCTATTGTTATTGATGGCGACCGGATAACCAAGGAAGATTCTCAGGTTCTTTTTTTTTTTTTTATGGATTTGAATTTCCTCAATTTATTTTGAATTATTATATATTTGAATTTAATTAATTTTATTTTCAAAAGTTTGAAATTCCAACAATACAAGTCAAATTTTGTTTCATCTCTTTATCTAAACACAATGAGTAATGAGTTTTAATATAATGATTGAAAGCTTGGAAAATTAAGTTCTTCAGTTTTCCCAGTTAAAGCATCCACAAAATATTTAAAATTATGTTATTGTCATCCATATGGTAGCTTTGCTTTGGAGACAAAACAAATAAAGAAAGTAGAGTTGAAACTAATTAATTACTGGCAACATTTTCTTTAGAGCTTATACCAAGTGAGTAACAAGTAACAATTATTTTCTTGTTATTTTCTCTTTTGTTTGTTACACAGGATGGATTATCCAGTAAGCTGACCATCAGAGATGTCCTCAGGTATGACCTTAGCCAAATCGTCTGCACATCAGCCAACACACTGGAAAAACAGGACAGCGCCCCTTTCAACCTCACAGTCAACTGTAAGTTAATTATTAATGTCTACACTTCACATTGGGGCTGGGGGAAATGGATTTAAAATCTAATCTCAATTTTTTCCTACAAAATTCAATTAATCAATATATTTATATTTTAATACTTTTTCATAATATAAACAACAAATAACATACATTAATTTCCAAAGCTACCTTTGATTTCAATCATCCCCTCTGGGAGGTGACCTTAATTTAAATGGCAATGAAATGTAAGCCCTGAAACATGCTGTAAAATAACAAAACAATGAAAATATAACATATTAAATGTTTGCAGGTAGTGGTATTAAACACGTTGAGCTAGTTTATCAGTTATGAGTAAATAAAAAAGATAATAAACTGATGTGACTCTAAGCTATGGAAGCCCCAGAGAAGCATTGTTAAAAATAAAAAAAATCAAGATTTTTTCCAAAAAATTTAAATTGTCACAGAGCAAAAATTTAATTAATAGATTTTATTGTGGTACAGTAAAAGGTTTTAGGACTTAAAAGTTAAAACTGAAACTCTCAGGGATAATTAAAAGTATTACAGATATATGTTGTGCAAAACTTTGTGAATATTTTATGTTAACAAACTCAAACGTCTATGTTCTCCCTTAGGTATTTCATGTAAGGTCTATAATGGTCCTGATATGGAGCTCTGAGAAGGAAATACTAGAGATACAGATTTTTGGTTAGTCTGTTTATCATTAGATTTAAACTAGAAGGTCAGATAAATACTTTGGAGGTTTTATTTCTGGATTGGTGCTGAAATCCCAGCTTATAACAGTCATGGTAGTTGGACAGTTATTAACATACTCCATCCGTTTATGACCTCATTGTTTGGCAGGTTACACTGCCGATGAGCAACATACCTGTTTGACAACTAAAGGTCACTGAGAGCTAGTGGCTGTCACTCCACCCCAGCACGCCATTTGTCATAAATAGTTAATCTATATAGTTTCTTCTTCAAAGTCACACTCAAATATGAAAACGTACTTCATTATCTGGAGTAAATCATGTACAGAATTAGTTCTGTTTAAATTCCATTTAAAAAAAAAAAAATAAATATTATAGCAGAATTGTATAATTCAATTAAGTTCATTCATATAGCACCAATTCATAACACATGTCGTCTCAAGGCACTTTACAGTTCAACTAGTAGTATAAGTGTGAACTGCTACATTTACAAAAGCTGTGTATGTTTGCAAGGTTGAGCCTCCCCTCTAAGGCTAAAACCACACTGTGTACACAGCAGCCCACACCTTTAGTCCTTCAGCATGAATAACCTGAAAGGCAGGCAAACCACACCAACCGCAGCTTTAGCTTTTTATTAATTATTCAAAAGCTTACCACACCACTACAGTTCAGGAGGGCTAAGGTCAATTTGGATCAGAAGAACAAAGAATCTGGGACATTTAAAGAGGACACCAGATTGAAAATAGAATTTTTTTAACTTTTAACAGCCTCATTTAGATCTAGAAGAGACTTAAAAAAGCTTGTGTTAAATATAACCGCTTTCATAAGGGTCATGGTCTGTCGTTACCCTTTTATGAGGTAAGATCCATTGAAAATAAACAAGCTGATTCTGCGGATTAGATTTTAAATAACACTAATCTATCTACGAAGAGCTGCTGCGTATTTAAGAAGTAAAACTGCACAAATACATGTTGAACAACAACAAAAAACAAAAACAACGAATCGTGAAGATAACTAGAAGTTTACGAGATCATTGTATTTTATTGCAAAAAATAAACCCATCCAACCAAAATATTTAATGATGTGTATGTGTTCCATAGATGGGCCCGAAGATGTCATCTTAACTCCCTCTTTAATTGCGGAGTACGTGCCTTCCAAGTCCAACTTCAACCTAACATGTTCAGCCTCCTCCAGCCCCTCGGCCACCTTTACCTGGTTTCACGACGAGAAGGACATACAGGCCACAGGTCCAGTCCTCACTCTGAAAGTCATTGAGGAGAAGGGATTTGGGAAGAATCCGGCTGACTACAAGTGTGTTGCTGAAAATGCCAAGACCAAACGTTTTGTTACTTCTAATGTTGTCAGATTCTCTGTGATGGGTGAGTTGATTTAATTGAAAACAACCAATGTTTGACGTAAATAACACTGTGCTTGAAATTAAATTAAATTGTGCTTTAAATTAATTAATATTTATATAGTAGGTAGCAAAACCATTTCTTAACACCGAATGTTTTACAGTTGGACCTAATATAAAAACGGAACTGTTGGACCTTTTGTTTTGGGGACTCTTGTCATCTTAAAAAGCATTTAAGAATAATAAAAAAAAATGCTTTGGAATCAACACCATTCATTTTAATTTCATATCGATTTGTAATTTGGATCTTACAATTAATGTTTTAGCAGAACTCATAAAAATAGGACCTGGTGTCTCTAAGGTTGCATACGCATAAAAACAGGGCAGAAAAAGAGGAGAAAAAAATGATTCAACAAATTAAAAACAAAAAAAAAATTGATGGCTTTCTTCTTTCTCTTAATGCTTCCAGAGCCCATTTCTGGTGTTTCAATCACTGGTCCTTCTGATATCCTCATCGCTGGGAACAGCTCGGCCAATATCAGCTGCCAGGAAAAAGCAGGAAAGGTTTTGGAGCGTGTGTGGCTGAAGGATGGTAAAACCCTCTCCCCCAGTACCCGTATCATCTTCTCCAGTGACAAAAGCTCAATCTTTATCAAGACACTGCAAAAAGAAGACAATGGAAACTACACATGCCAGCTCAGCAACACTGTCAGCAAAGAAAATGCCCATTTTAAGATGGTGGTCAACTGTAAGTGTTGGTCTAAATCTTTCGCTATATCGTTGATTAACCAACAGGAAGTTTATACTTGTTTCCGATTTCTTTTCAATCCAGATGGTCCTGAAACATTCGAGGTGACGGGTAAAAAGGAAGTTGAGTTGGGTGACAATTTAGATCTCCGCTGTTCTGTCCAATCTGTTCCTCCTGCAAAGATTATCTGGAAGATAAATGGCACAGTGATCCCAAATGAAACAAAGGAAGTGTTGAGCCTTAAGGATGCTAAGTACAAAGACTCAGGGATATACACATGTGAGGCAAGCAACGCTGTCACTGGCAAGAACGCCACCTCCTCCTCCACACTCAGTGTCAAAGGTAAGCCTGTTCTGTAGATTATTCATTATATTAGCAATACATAAAGGTGTTAGATACATACAATGCATGGCAGATGTTTTATCACATGATTTTTTATTACCCTTTAAACCATTTTTAAATGCCGATCTTCTGCCACTAAAATCAGAGAACCCAGAATTGATAGCACTTAATTATACGATTTGTCATTATTTTGACATCATAGTGCGTCAGAGACTGGTTCCTGACTCAAAGGTTGCCCTATACTTAGTTGTGTTTCATTTCCCTTACTTGCAAATCATCACTTGTCCGTGACAGAATTATTATGCCTCGTTTAGAGTTAAAGTAGTAGAGTTAGAGCACTGACATATCACATTTAATGGGTTGGACAAATTTAAAACCAAATATGGGAAGGAATACTTGTAAATATATTAATTTAAGTACTGGTTTATATTCTATGCAACTCGTATCTACTGTTTTTTCATTTATTGTATTCTGGAAACACCAAACAACCTGTTCATGTCTGGCAAAGAACTAAATGTGGCAGTATTTCTACTGAGAGAGTATAATAGAGACGATAAAAAAAAAACACATGTTGGTGAGAAACTATTGACAGTCAGAATAGGCCTGCCTTGTTTCCCAGCATAAAGCTCATCTTTGTTCTGTGTAAGTCAGTGATGAAGAACTTATTTGCTGGACATGCTGGTAGACTCTTTGTGGCATCTGTATTCCTTTAAATAAAAACAACCTTGTTGCAAATTTGCTTTGCCTGATATAGTATAGATTTTTTATTTTTATTTGTTGTGTCAGAATTCTTTAAAAGTTGAATTATATTATTGTATTGTTTAAATTATAATTCTATTGCATTTATAAAATACTGATACTGGCATCTTAACTTGTTAGCAATTCAAAAAGTAGAAATGGTGGAAACTCTTTTTGGCAGGTATTATAAATCATTGCCTTGCATGACAAAAATATTCACAACTATTTTATGACATTGCCTATATATCTGATATAAAGTAGCAATGGCACATGTAACCATAATCGTAAATGTATCTTCAAATTCAATATTCAACCATAATATCACAGTCAAGTGATATGCTAACACAAGCTTAATGTTATAACTTCCAAAAGGGCAAAGAATACACTGTGTCTTATCAAAGTGTTAATAAATGCTGCTATGGTTGCTGAATTGTGACTGTTGTTCTGTGGTGTTTTTGCAGAAGAGATAGAGGAGGGTCTGTCAGACGGAGCTATTGCTGGAATTGTCATTGCATGCCTTGTTGCAGTTGGAGCTGCCATTGGCTTGTTCTTCTACTGTAGACAGAAAGTACCGTAAGTACCCTTTGCCTTTGGATACATCAAGTTGGCTTTGCAGTTTTGACTATTAACGGATGAAAACAGAAAAGACGACGAGTGTCAGTGCTTAGGAGCTGGACTGATATGGTGGAGATGCCAAAAAAAACTGAAGTCCATTGTAAGTTTGTATCTTCTATACTTTTAGGCTTTATTTTTAAAGAGATATTCATCTTAAAGGTGTAGGGAAATCATATTTAAATTGGACGGATCAGACTCATCCACGACCTCCGACACAAAACTCTCCTCCTCTTGCATGTTTCCGCTGTCCATAGCGTTCCTTGACAGTGTTGTTTATTAGTCACCAATTTAGTGCTACTTGGTCCCAATGTAATTTCCCATTGCTTAGCAACGATGCATCCGAGACACCTGCCACAACCAAAGATGCTTGCGAACCTTCTGTCTCAACAACCCCGCCCCTTTGATAAACAACCAATCACATTCACTTTATTCACTAGTTTAAAGTTGTGCAACACTCTGGAGAATTCGGAAATGCAATGGTTGCAACAGCCGTTTCACTACGACTTTAAGCAGAGTGCAGGTTTACTGAATTTTAGTTTTAGCTAAGTAAAATGCCCAGAGTAGGTTATAGGATAAATTCTGCTCCTGAAAAGGGTTAAAATCATCTAGTTTATAATCAGATTAGTCTTGGGTGGAGATTTGCGAGACACAACCAACCTCTGCAAAAAAATTATTAAGAGAGTTTGCTTCGAAGAGTCTGGTGAGAATTTGTATTACTCCTAAAATAACAGCTCTGAGAACAGGCTCTTAAGATTCTGGGATTTTGTTTGAGGGCAATGTGGTACAAAAATGGCCAATAATTTTTTGGGGGGATTGACCAAAGTAACCAATTAAATATGTAAGATTAAATATGTAAGATGATGGCTGGAATGGCTACAAACTGACCCTCCAACATTAAACCTGTGGAGAGGGAGTGGGAAATAAATTGACTTAATTCTTGAGACTGGATCTTGAGAAATGTGTTGAACATTGGGAAAAAAGGATTACGTTTGCTCTGAACCGGGAATAGTAAGACACAACAATGTGATGTAGGGAAACGAACGAGCTGTGACACCATGATGTTCTACCATGAAAATGTTATGTTGTCTTTTCTCTTCTTTTTTTCTGTCCTTCTTCCTTTCTGTTCATAATTCAAATTCCAAAATAACAAGTTAAAAAAAGTAATCTAGTTAGTTTGTACACAGATTGATTTTCTGATACAGTAGAAAAAATAAGAACTTTTATTGTCTTAAACATCCTGCTACATCAAAGGATCAGTTGACAACAGGCAAATGAATGAATAATACTTAAAAGCAATGAAAGAGGGAATTGTCTTATTCCCGGGTGTGTTTGGCCACATCATTGTGACCCTTTGTTTCTTTAACTGACTTTTCTTTAAATACAAGAGAAAGCTTCTGTTCTTAGTTCTTTCTTGGTCTTTAGCATCGCTCTATATCCCTTTGTTTCCTATCTTGACCACTTTCTGACCTTTTATAGAATTCTTGACATTTTTCTGCCTTCCGTACCTTGCAACCGTTTTAGGATGATGTACAAATGCATACAGATTAAACGGTTGATAAACAGCCGCAAAGTTTAGGCCATCCCTTACGACACAGAATTCCCTTTGTTGCATGAGAGCATTTTAACCCTTAACCCAAACCACGCTATTGTGAAAAAGTTGGCCAGACTTAACTTTGCATCTTCAGCACAAATCTTATATAAGCTTAGTCCTGATTATCAAAAGTGCATTTTTAAATTTGGATAATATCATTATCACCCACTGAAATTCTTAAAAAAAAATATGCAAAAGAAAAAAAGAAAGAAAAAATATGCACCAAGCCTTTATGTTGCAATTTTAAATTAAGCTATTTTGGTTCTTGATTTTTTTCATTGGTAGTCTTTGAGTTTATCTTTTCATATTTCTCCCTTGAGAATAGATGTCCCTTGACCCAAATATAAACTGGCCTTAGTTTGACAAGAGGACATTCAATTCATTGGTTGGCAGCTGTGAAATAAGCTCCATAAGTCAGAAAAAAAAAAATACAGTTTATCTTATAAAGTGCTCATAACATACAGTATGCAGGGAGAAAATGATTCAACAAAAAAAAGTTTCACAGAAATAGAGCTACCAATCTTGATTAAAAAAGATACTAATATTAAAGCTCATTTTAAGAAAGGCAAAGGCTATTGTTGTGATTAATATTCCTGCCTGCTTTTTAGAAAAACACAATTATAATCAGCCGTTCAACACATCTATAAGTATCTCCACATAAATTTGCCATACCTTTAATCAAAGGTATGGTGTATAAGCCTTTATTTAGCCAGTTGACAGCAGCAACAGATGGGAGAGGGTTGATGTTATATTACTTCTGGTCACTCCTGCACTTAAATAGATGCTTGATTAAAATAATATTTGAATTTTTAGTATAACAGAATATTTGTGCCACATTAAAAAGGGGGTTTAGCAACCAGTTAAAACCATTGTATCATGAATGCATTGTCTAAAGAAAGCGGCAGTAACCACATCCTGTGGCATGTCGACACCCTGACAGGCAACAGAAACTGTCATCATGAAATAAATGGGCGAGTCAATGACAGATTTTCACATTCCTCACTTCAGGTAATAGAGTTTACAACATAACTGTGGTATTAAGGGTGAGTTATACTCCTGCAACAGTGTGTCGTAGTGAGTTTGTCGCAGATATTTTTGATTTATGCCCAGATTTGACCAATCAGATGTGTCCTGTCTACAATTTTGGAAAAATAAGAGTGTCATTTTTACACAAATATCTGTACTTTCTACTCCTTACATTTTAATAAATTGGCTCGTTACTTTAGTTTTGAATCATTTCAATGGAGTTACTGTTATTATTTTTCACGTCATCAATACCAAATTCAATCTAATTGGATGGGAATCTACGTTGCATTTGACGCACCACTACAAGATGAATCGACAGATTCGGCGGTATTCATTTGCGGCGAATCTGTCTATTCATCTTGTAGTG